CAACAACTCTGCTTGTCGAGAACCTTGTTGGTGAAGCAAGGCTACTTTCTCGCGTTCAGCGTCAAGTTCATTTTGAATGAACTTGGCGATAGTAGCATGTTGGGCATCTCTATCGAGAGCCTCTGGCATGACGCTAACAGCATGGATGCCCATGGTTGAACCCATCCGTTCAACCGCATCCCATTCGACATCGCTCAAATGGGAGTAGCCGTCACGCTTAGCGTAAAAGCTTTGGTCATCCTCGTCATCCAACATATTCATGTTAGATGTGAACGTGGTTCTTGGACGGACTACGAAGTGCTACCAGGTGTAACGGGGCACCCTGAAGCTTGTACTGGTGACAGTACAAGCTACTTATTCTGATGACAGAATTAGGCGGTGCCTCGTAACTTCACGTACACTCGTACGTGCAGAGGAAGACGGTAAGAAGAAGCGATTACTTCGTTTAAGTAAAAAGTGGAACTGTATATATCATAGTTAATGTCTGTTAATAAACCACTATTTATCTTCATCTAACTATGTCTAATACAAATGTGTAAATCAACTCTCTGCTCACCACTCATTGCGTGCGTCTGTCGTGGCGCGTCTTCGTTGGTTGATATAATGGACTATATCAACCAATTAGGAACTACTCGTAAGTGCTGCAGAATATTTGTCCTTATGACAATATTCTGAGAATATAACTCGTATATTTATATTCTATTAGCAATTTCTTATAAATTGTTATGTAACGATTCACCCCGTTACACCTGCCGAATAACAAAAATGGTAGTCGCAACCCTTACTTCACTTTAGATCGTGACATAGAAGTCGATGAGAACTCATACCATGATCTTGTATGAAGCAAGGATACGCATGTGCATGAATCAATCAATTTATAAGCAAAGCTATGGCACGAGACCAAATACATCAAATAGTAAACTGTACCCTCTTTCTAGTTGGACTGCGGCCCGATTCGGCGAGTTCAGTTTGGCTCTTCGTCCGGTTAGTTCACGACACAGAACTATATTCAACTTGCATAATCAGTCATCCCAATGGGCGACGTTCTTTTCGACCCCTCATTCGTGTGACAGAAGATCGTGGATAAGCACTTCTCACTACAGTCAAACGTTTCTCACATAATGTTATAGTCTTGATGTATGTCTGAACTCAGAAGTTCCTGTATGTTTACCACCTCAAACTAACTAGGTGGTCTAACAATACAAACTTCAGATAAGCTTCAATATTTGGGCTGATAGTCCGCATCAAAGGGAAAATAAGTAAGTGGAACTGCTGAATGAAATGTACTGAAGTCTTGTCGATGGTGCCGAAGGCTATTATAAAAAAAGGATGCTAATCGCCTTTTAACTACTCGTTCGTAAAAGTTACTGATATTTCCGTGCGGAATAAGAAAAGTGTAATGGGTAGATTAACATCAATTCCAATGCATGTTGGCATAGACAGTATTCACAGTGTTTCATGAAATGTGCAGCGTATTCTGCTAACCATTCTGGGATCCAATATAGTCCCCTCTGGAAGACCACGAAAGACTAGTGTGAAATGACTGCTGCGCGAGCTTAAGCGTCGACTGTCGCCTTCCACACACATCGCTGCTTCTACCTACCCTTCGTATTTAGTACCTTAGGACTTACCACATCCCAGCATGCTACATAAAAAAAATTTCACGCCATAATCAACAATCCAGTCTCCTTTGTACCCACCAAGAATGTAGGGTTCATCTTTTCATTCGATAAATCGCGGTGTCTGACACTGCTTTGCGTCAAGAGTTGCTGCTTCACTCGAGTGCTTGCGGATATACACTTTCACCTCAATATTTATAAGGATGGCAACAGCTAGCCAAATTTTGTAAGGTGGCTGCCGATGTCTCATCCGCGCCGCGAACATGATGATAGCAGTTGCTGCTTTCTGTCATTTAGCACTTTATAGTAGTTTGACCCCTGAAGTGGCACAATGCGGCGTGTCAAATCCTCAAATGAGTCTTTTTGTACTGCCCACAAAGTTATAATATTTGGAATCGGGCCTACTGTAGATTCCGCGAAAATGCCTGATAAAGCAGCGCATCCAATTTTTGGGCAAAGATACCTAATATCGTACGCATAAGAGTATCGACGATGTCACGCGTGACTCCAGTTGGTATTTGGTCACCTTGATTTACAACATCCTGGTTTGTCCACCCCCAGTTTACATCTTATAGAGGGAGGATGTTGTTACAAGATATCGTCTTTGACAGATGATGGCGTTTCGGGAATAGAATGCAAGACCTGTTACTAGTAAAGAGCGACTTCATCTGATCAGCTGAAAAATTGATAGGTAGGAAGGAGACGAGACAAGTTGACATATGGGGCGAGAGAAGACGATCGTCACGTTAGAATATCGAGGCAGGTGGCAGGTGAGACAGCGACATACTGACGTCATGTTGGACCAGAACCAGCACATGGGGATAAGCATGCTGGATGTGTGCCAAGTGTAACTTGATCAGGTCAAGTTGCAGTGCTGGTACAATGCATATAATAGGGTTGACTAGAGAGAATAGTTAACACTTAATGTGTATCACTTTTACTTCGTACATCTTCTGCACAAGTGCGGGCTACAATACTACAGTCGAAAGGTTTTATATCAGGGGATGCTATACAATCAGCTCCCGCTATAGCATCTCTGTTTGCCTACCTTCGATTCAGATCTTACAGAGAGAGGATGTTATATCAGGGGATGTTATAGAGTGAGCTGGCTGTTTTAGTAAAGTAAAACCTGATTAGCTCAGAGTGTTAAGACCTCAAATGACCACTGCGATGTAGGTCAACAAATGCAGAATTGCATGTGCGGAATCGGGTGCATGGAGAAATGAGTTCAAAATAACCAAGTTCTTAGTAAGCGATGTTTGAAGTATTTTCGGTTTAAGAAGAATATACAGACGATATTAGATATTTCTACTGATAGCCTCATATCAACATCAGCACAGTGACTTTGTGGGTGCAGACCTTTTAGTTATTCAAGCGCAACGCCCGGTCGTATATTCTTTTTAGTGAAGTCGTGGGACCGCAACGATAGACTCATTTCTAGGTTTAGCTTATTTTTAACTCAAGAGAAGTCTGAACGAGCTTTGGCGGTTGCGATGATGATGAAGTGATGCGACACGCTGCATTTCTGCTGTCAAAGCTTGTAGTGTGTCATTTTTGATCGTTGGTACAACGATAAGACTAGAAAGGCTCCAAACCCATGATGTTGCATTAGCTCACGCAAGAATACATAGAATCATACAAGAAAATGAGATTATTGGAGGGACAAGAACATTATTTGTAACAGGGTAGCCCATCACATGATATTGACATTAAATGGTGGCAATAGGGATATTGTCTAGCGTGACAATATCCTGCCAATATTATCCATCTCGGATAATATTGAAGGAATATTATCCCCTTTAGATAACATTCATGCACTGCTCAAAGATAATTTGATGAAAGACATGTCAACCAAGATTACCACCAATCGCTGCTAGACGCGCGCAATGAGTAGTGAGCAGGTTGTCGTCATACGACAATGTAGATTAACGGAGTTAGATAACGACCGAAGTTATATTGATAGCTTAACTATGTTGAATTCAGTTCTCTTTTTACCCTCTACTCAACCTAGCTGTTGAGTAGATTAGCTTCCTCTGCACGTACGAGTGTACGTGGAGTTTCGTGGCACCTCAAACAAAGGGTGCCGTTACATCGACTGGATATCTGGGTATGGTGATTAGGCCATTCCTCGTAGCTTATAGCTTACCAGTAAACTGTGAAAGTGAAACGGGCTACACAGATGGTTGTGATAACCAAATACAATGGTGTGGTACACACAGAAAGAGATCAGCATTAACTGATAAGGCATACCTTTATACCACATACGCTAAGCGATATCACCGTACCCTATCGGTTATGGTTAGAGGATATCTGTCGTCATAGGGTCTTTACAGAGGCGACGTAGTTCTGGTGTGGTACACAAGAAGAACTACGATGAGGACAATTCGACTAGGAAGCATGGTTTTAAGGTCAAAGCGTAAGTAATGTTTATCATCGCTATTCGTCAGTAACGTTATCCAGTTTCCCTTTTGATCAGTTTCAGACACGCGTCTTTTTAAGACGTCTTTGATTGTAAGACTTGAGAGCCTGAGTGAAGACTAAGTATTATCGAGCATTAGTGCCACGTGATTCCTTGGAGTCGTAGTCCTCTGGACCAGGAGTAGAAGCTAAAGAGCTTGTACATACACTTAGAGTTAAGTCTCACCAAGTCTGTAAGAATTAAGACCCTTTGAGTTGATAAATATTTAGTTCGATGTACTAAGGGACTCGACGAGTCCAGAAGAATTCCTCTGACAAAAGAAGTAAGTGTAGCTCCGCAACAGAAAGTTTGCTGGCGTACAAATTGCAACCTCTTTCCTTTTAGCCTACGCTGCAGCAGCGCCAAAGTTCATGGTGCTCTCCTTTGTCAATCTTTTGCTGCCTCATCCAATATGTTGTAGCAGAAAAAAACAGGGTGGAGCTAACGCAGACGGACGGATGCAGTGTGCGATGACTCTACCGTTGCCAAACTAATTGCAAATGAAGTTTACATTGTGCATATGCTGGAATGTCAATTGGTCCGGAGGTCAAGTTAGCAGACCTTGCAGACGTTTACTTACCACGCGAGCTTGTTTTGACTGTCGTACACGCAGAGCACACGCAGAGCACCATTGAAGAAGTAGACTCGCTTTACCCAATCGTATAATCGACACACGCTACCCAAAATAATCGACCAAATCTTAGCACACAATTAATTTTAATATAGCATTTTGCAACCCCTCAGTTGCCACCAACTGTACCAACTGCTTGGTACTCACCGAATAATCGCGACACTGATTTAGAGGAGACCGAGGCTTCCAGGCACCACAAGAGAGAGAGAGCGAGAGGGAGAGCAAGAGCGAGAGAAGGGGCAGATCAATCAAGCCAATAAGCAACCGTCAACAGCACGCGGGTGTTTCTTACATGGATGAACGGCCAAGTGCAGGCGCCGGCCGGAGGGGTACGACTGACTCTATGTATACCTACAGATAGATACTATACAGTCGTCTATACGCTAACGGGAAGCAAGATGAAATGATCGTGGCCGTAGCGTCTCTTCGTTGACTAAACATGGCAATTGTGTGACAGGTAGAGGTCGAAGTGGAGGCTATGGACGTAAACCGAGCAGCAGTGGCGTGGCCTATCGACGTGTGCAGGTCTCAGTGGACGAATCAGTAGGAGACGCAGGCTCAGCTAGCAGCACTGAGAAGAGCAGCTGTCGTTCGGTACAGATAGTCGATGACTCTGCTACCAAAGAGGTTGAGGGACCGCCGGTTCCTTTATTCAAGTCTTCGTTGAGGCCTTCGGTGGAGATCACGTCAGCTCCAGCTAAAAAAACTGAACGCTTTGTTCGTGTGAAGAGTCACGGATCTGTTCCGAACCGAGAACGCAGCAGTGAGCAGCCAAAAAGCCTCACACCAAAGAAAAATGACGTGCAGGTGCCGATGAAGGGACGTGCACAGAGTAGTTTGCGGTGTACCACATCCCCCAAGAAGGAAACGAGACCGTTTATTAGCAGCTTGGTACAGTCAATGGATCATGGAAGGGATCGCGGAGCAAGGACGAAAAGAGGTGAGAGGAGTGGAAGAGATGTGCAGGGCCCGTCACGGCGTCGCTCGATTAGTCGAGAGCCAAGACAAAGCCTGGGAAATGGAAACGGGTCGTATCGGGGTGAGACTTTTGGATCTAATAAACGCTCATTTTCGAGACCGCGGTTATCCAGAAAAAGCAGCGTAGATAGCGTATCGTCAGTGCGTTCGGACCGCAGCGATATAAGCCATCGCAGCGAGCGTTACAACGAGGTAAACCGCTCGAGTAATGATGGGCCGCAACCTAATCGCCGATTGTCGGGTGGGTTGGGTGGAAAAGCGCCATTTCGAACGGCGCCAGTTGGGACGTCTTCCGTTACGTATGGCGTGCGAGATGTCCGTTATCAAAAAGAACGCCCTGCGTCCGAGTCTTTGTCTGGTAGGCCAGCCCTGGACAAGCTATCAGGTCAGTCATCGCTCGATGGAAGCGCCTGCTCATTGCGTAGGGTGATATCAGGTGCTCCGGCAGGACTACTGGCTGATAGAGGTGACTCCAGTAGTGGCCGGCCTTCAACTTTACAGCCGTCACCGTCAGCGCCCCAACTCGCCGATGTCGAAGAATCCGTCTCACCGAAGCCAAACGAATTATCTGCTGCTACCAAAATAACGAACACGTCAGCAATAAAGCCTGCCATCCCAGTTCTCGGTGAAGCCGAGCGAAAACATCTTGTTGATACTCTGCGAGAGCGAATGAAATCGCGGAAGCTAGAACGCGGCGACAGTTTGGCTCAAATGATGAAGGCGCCGCTTAGTTGTAAGGGTTCAACGGAGAAGGGGGCGCAAAGAAGTCCAGTCGGTGCAAAAAAAGAGGATGAAAATGAAGGATCTTCGAGGCTCGTTGACAAAAGTAAGGATGCAAGAACGCGCGAGTATTATGCTAAGCTTGACAAGGAGAACATGGAGCGGGAATCTTTGCGACGTGCGACGTCATTCAAGTCGTCGTTGGGGTCGTCCGGTTCGACGAAAGCACAGCCTTTGCCCACTTCACATACAGAGGCTGCCCCTCGCCGAAGGCTTTCGTCTTATCCGTCAGCGCCAGTGCAAACCGGGCCAGTCCGACCTCCTACGCCATCATTGGCAGCAGGTCGGGCCCTAATGCAGCCAACTGTTTCACGAACTAAAAAGCTGCAGTATTCTCTTGCCGAGCTAAGAAGGTCAGTTGCTAATGACTTTTCCTTTTTTTATTCACGAGAAATGCTAGGGCATGTGGGCTAATGCATTATTGCGATTATGTTGTTGGATTCACAAACAGACTTATGGCGTTTGCAATCCCCAAACCGAGTGGTCTTCCCGATATGAAAATTATGGAGCTGGTACAGCTTCGTGACCCACGCTCCGTACCTAAACGGTCATCTGGACGCCTTGGAGTGGGGTATGGAATTGGACGATCTATTGGGAGTAGTATCCGAAAGAGTGACCGTCTAGATGTTCGGTCTGGTGTGCGTGGATCAAAACCCCCTGTGAGTGTGAGAGACGGGAGACGTGACAGGCAAATTCGTGGTGGTCGTGGGGGTGGTCGCGGTGGTCGCACGGGAGGTGGTCGTGGCAACCATGGCCGCCCGCCTCCGCCTCCGTTGTACGATGGCCCCATTGAGCCGCTTACTGTTTCCGAGAACCGATGGAAACCGACAAAGGAAAAGGACGTTTCCGGTCTTGAGAAAACGCTAAATGACATCAAAAGTCTGCTGAACAAGCTCACAAGGGAAAAGTTTACGAAGCTGACGAATAAGCTTTGCGCAATCGATATTGACAGCTTTATCCTGTTGAGCTCAATCGTCTCGATAATTATGGACAAAGCTCTGGAGGAGCCTGGGTTTGCGGACGTGTATTCGGACCTGTGCAAGGAATTTCATACGCGAACGATTAAAACAACGTGGAGCTTTTTGAAAGTGCTAAGTGACGACAAGGGAGCGTTTTATTGGACGGCAATCGATAAGACGACATTTAAATCGTTTGTCGGTCCGTTTAACAGCCCACGTAGCTGTCTCGAGAGTATCGGAGTAGGTGGAAGTGCAGCTCCCGTGACATGCGAGTGTGCGTCTATCTTGTCCGTGCAATATTATTATTACGGTGAGTACTTGGTTGTAGTAGGCGAAAAGGAGCCCGGTGCGTTTTATTTCTCAACACGAGAGGTCAGCGGTATCAAGGACGACGAACCCTTTGGAGGACCGTTTGAGACGGTGGACCTCGCACGCCACGCGGCTGCGTATCAGACCAGCTTTAAATGTCTACTTGTAAACCGCTGCCAAGTCGAATTCGAGAAGACCAATAAGCATGTCGGTTTACAAGAAGAGAAGCAGGAAGGAGAGGAGATTGACCCTCGGCGACGTGAAGTTCTTGCAATGCGCGCTAAAGCGAAGATGCTAGGCAACATCCGGTTTATTGGTGAGCTCTACAAGGTTGACCTGATCAAACAGAAGGGCGTAGAAGGATGCATTTTCTACTTGTTGGGATTAGAGCTGTTGCCGGGAGTGGGGGCTCAAGAAGGTCAAGCTCAAGTAGTTCGCTTTCCCGACGAGGTCGATTTGGAGGCACTCTGCAAAATTCTGGCTACAGCAGGCAAAAAGTTTGACCAGCCCGATACAAAGACAATTATGCAAATAATAATTCTGCGCATGGTGGAGCTGTCCAACGATACGAAGTTACCCTCTCGAGCACGGTTTCTGGTTAAGGATATCCTGGAAACGAGAGACCATATGTGGGAGCCCCGTCGCAAAGAGATGCAACAGAAAACCTTGGAAGAAGTCCGAAGAGAGGCACAGAAGCTCCAGCAGCAAGGGAAAAACGCTCAACACGATGACGTGCAACGGCGCCGTCTTAAGACCCGGGTCTCCAGTGCGCAGCTCGCAAAGCAAAGCAGCAATCTCATTGTGGCTAAACAACAAGAGCCGGATAAGGCTGAAGCGTCGGAGGCCGACAAAGCGAAAGAGTTGTCTCCTGCACAATTGTCGACGCGGATCAAAAGTATCATTAACGAGTACATCTCCATCTTGGATGTCGATGAAGCTATCACGTGCGTCCAGGAGTTGCCTAGGGATCCATACCACGTTGCGTTTGCTGAGCAGACGGTTTATACGGCGTTAGAAGGCAAGACAAGCGAGCGCGAGCATGCAGTGGATTTGCTTGTGACGTTGTATGATCGTACTGTGGTCGATGCAAATTCTATCCAGTCTGCTCTGGTGAATGCCATGGAGTTTTTGGAAGATATGAAGATCGACTTGCCGCTCATTCACCAGTACTCAGCGCTGATCTACGGCCGACTAGTCGCTGCAGGCTGTTTCGGTTTGTCGTGGATAATTTCTGGAGCCCTGGCTCATTGTGTGGAATGCAAGCTTGCTTCACAAGTCTTTCCTGAGGTACTGTCCGTGCTGGAAATGGAGAGTGACGAGGATACGGTGATACGGATGCTTACAGACGAGGAAGTGACACCGGAAAGCGTGTTGCCTGCGGCGATGAGAACGAATGAGGCAGACGTTAAAGCCTATCTCCGTGAAAGTGGTATGGACGTTTTTTTCGGTGGTGATTCTGACGCGGAGAGTGAACTTGACCCTGAGATTGCAGGGAAGATGCGCAGAACGCTGGAAGAATACTTAGCTGTCAAGGACTTCAATGAGATGGTACAGTGCGTTGAAGAGTTTGACGCCATTGCTGATCGCTGGCGGCACTTTGTGCACATAATGCTAGTGTTCAGTCTCGAAGCGAAGCAGTCTGTACGCAAGGATGTGGCCGAATCATTGGTTCAACTATTCGATGAGGGGAAGGTCGCATCGGACGATATCGAGGCTGGCGTAGAGAGCACCCTGGACGATTACGATGACTTGCTCGTTGACATTCCCCGTCTTGCTTTTAACTTGAGTGAGCTTTATCAGCCAATGTTTCTCAAGAACGTCCTATCAGTCCGCTGGTTGGGTGAGGCATGCTCTCGCCTGGTAGAAAGCGGTCACGCAGCAGATGTGCTTGACGCTCTATTGTCTGCATTTGACGATCCTGACGCTTTGGTTGCATGGTGGAAAACGCAGTCGGACGTTGATACAATTTGGACGCAACTGTCACCGCTTGATGAGCGACTAGTGAAATGGAAGGCACGACTCCAATAAGTTTGTACACATGGCCATTCGATCAGGTATCCGCAGATACTCTGCAGTAATGAGACAGTTCACGTTGTAATCCGTGCAAAAGCAGGGACGACTGATGACAGTATACACTGGTATGTATACTGACACGATAAGTGCATAAAGAAGAGAAATGATGAGAAGAAGAAGACGACGACGGCGAAGCAGTTGTGGTGAATGTGAAATTCAAGCATGCAGCAGCGTGACCGACCGCCACAGACAAATTAGCCATGAGTGAGTCAGTCAGTCGGTCTCCTGTCTCGCAGCTTTCACTGAATGGAGCACATGCAGCCCCGACTCGAGTCCGGTCCACAGCCTGGTACTTCTGTATCCACAGCGGCCACTTCACTACCTATGGACACTTGTTCCTTGCCGTCTGCGTCCTTCCAGACCTCGTAAAGTCGCACTTCGTACGTGCTCGTGGGATGGAGATCGTCCAGAATGACTGAGGCAGCACCAGGACGCGCGTCCACTTGTCGTGCGTGTTCGTCCCATGCAGCACCTGCTTGTTTGTACTCGTAGCGATACCAAGAGGAAGCAGTCGAAGAAGGCGGGACCTTGAGCGTCACGGAAAAGTCGGACCGCGTCTGGAGCTTGGCTGGGGCAGGCTGTATGAGAGACATTGCTGAGAACTGAATGCCTCTTGACCGAGGTAAGTTTAGAATGTGTATACAATGCAGAGTATACGTGCTGTCCCCGTAGAATCGCCTTGTGTATTTTTGTCGTTACGTCTCTCGTGTTCTTTTGTTCCAAAAGTGGGTGTGGTCACACGAGCACGTATCAAATGGTGCCCTAGTTGTAGACCATGTACTTGGGCGTCGACGAGAACTTCTTGTAGCCCTTAATGACCTTGTTGACCGACTCGAGAAAGTCCTTTTCGCTCACGGATTTGCGGCGCGCGCGGATCGCAAACATGCCAGCTTCCGTGCACACACTGCGAAGCTCAGCTCCCGTCGTGTTCGGGCAGAGTCGACTCACAAGCTCAAAGCGAATGCCTCGGTCACAGTTCATGCTTTTGGCATGGATCTTGAGGATCTGCGTACGACCCTCGAGCTCCGGCAAGTTGAACTCGACTTTGCGGTCCAGTCTCCCTGGCCGCATGAGTGCCGGGTCCAGCGTATCCGGTCGGTTCGTCGCCATGAGCACCTTGATGTTTCCACGCGGATCAAAGCCGTCCAGCTCCGTGACAATCTGCAGCATCGTCCGCTGCACTTCATTGTCAGTCCCGCCTTCTTCCGAACTGCTCCGCGCGCCTCCAATCGCGTCCACTTCATCGAAAAACACAATACACGCCTTCTTGGACCGCGCCATGGTAAAGAGCTCCCGCACCATCCGCGCGCCTTCGCCCACGTATTTCTGCACCAGTTCACTGCCAATGACGCGGATAAAACACGCATCCGTGCGGTTCGCGACGGCTCGAGCCGACAGCGTCTTGCCTGTACCAGGAGGTCCATAGAGCAGCACGCCCTTGGGCGGATCAATGCCCAGGTTGACAAACCGTTCCGGGTGAAGTAACGGCAACTCGACGACTTCCCGGAGCTTCTCGAGCGCATCTTTGGCCCCTCCCACGTCGTCGTACGTGACATCTGGCTTGTCTTCGACCGTCATGAGGGACACGGTGGGGTCAATCTTGGGCGGCAGGGGGATCTGGATCGCGTACTTTGTGCGGTCCACCCCTACCCGCATGCCTTCTTCAATGTCCGTTGGGGCGACTTTTTCCCCGAGCCCTACCACGAACTTAGCGATCTGCTTGACGTTGATCATGTACTTTGCTTCCTCCTCGCCGGCGTTGATGATCTTGGTACACCGCGCGACTTGGAGCGGCTGCTCTTCCTGCATCATCTGCTTGTCACTCACGAGGTCCCATTGGCTCGGGAGACTCAGCCCCGTGTCGCTCTCTTTGATGCCAATGAGGTCGTTCACAGCCTTCTGCGCCTTCTTGATGTCGTCTTCCACCTGCTTGATCACGCGCGAGTACGGCCCCAGTCCGTACGTCTTCAGTAGCGCAATGTCCCCCTCGTCCAGCACCGTCTCGGGTCCAGCCAGTAGATCGTCGTTGTCGTCGCCGTCCTTCCCCTCGTCCTTGTCGTAGCTCTTCGAGTTGCTCGTCTGACACTCGCCTACTGCCATGATGTACTTAATGGCAAATGGCTGAATCTTCGCACTTAAGATAGCGACTGACCCACCCGCCCGAAGCTACGAAAAGTGGCGATATCGAAGTAACGGGTAAGTGACTGCAATTATGGCTACGGTTTGTATTTTTTTATTCGTTTTCAGTGGATGCCCAGCACTCGAACGACAGCCGGGATGACGGCGGGCACAGTCCACGCACGTCTGCTACAGGAGGTATATGCCTTTGTGGCTTGGTGTGTATCTTCTTGACATGACGGACTAGCTGCTGGTGCAATTTGTTTGGATGTAGCGCATCGAGAGCGTCCGTGAGCAGCTGACAGAGCTGCAGGACCAAGTGGACCGCTACGAGACTGTGGCAAAGACACTGACAGAGCTGCCGAAGAAGCTCACGCACAAGGTCATGGTCCCTATGGGGAAACGGGCGATGGTTCCTGGCAAGATTGTGCGCTCGAATGAAGTGCTGGTGCACTTGGGCGATGAGTACTTTGCGTGGCGCTCGACGTCTCAAGCTATTGAGCTGATTGAGCGGAAGCAGAAGGGTCCGAGTGCTGTTACATGAGGGATGAGTCTGGATGGGTACATGCGGAGGTTGTGACAGGAGTGCGTGACCTTGTTATTGCGGTTGTAGAGCGGCAAAAGCAGATTGAGACGCAAGAGGAGGTTTTGCGGGAGTTGAGTGGTAAAGAGACGGACGTAAGCAGTATCGTGCAGATGAAAAAGATGTACGAGGCTGAGAACATTTGTGAGATCAAAGAGACAGAGGAGCAGAGTGAACTGGCGCCGGTGCCAGTCGCCACGGAAGAAGGTTCACTCGATGTTGTATTGGTTGTGCTGTGTTTGGACTGTGAAAACTGACTGGATGGGGCGTGTGTGCGTTGTAGATGTTTTGAGTTACTTTGAGTTAGAAGAAGAGGAACGACTGAAGCAAGAGAAGGCGTCGTGGAACTGGAACGACATGATGAAGCGGATGGAAAGTCTGGAAGCACTTGAGGCTGCTGGCGAACGCATGGATGTAGTAACAAACGAGGACGAGACGGTGGAAGCTCAGGCAGTCGCGCTGAAGGTCAAGGGGAATGAAGCGTTTGCGCGGCGACGTGTACAGGAAGCAGCTCAGTATTATTCCCAAGCTATTGAGTTGGACCCGACCTCTCATGTATGGATGAGTTACAGCTTGCATACCCAAGCGCCCGATTGACACACTTGCTTGTCCTGTACCTACAGATTTTGTACGGCAATCGTGCTGCAGCATACCATCGATTGAAGAAGTACAAGCTGGCATTGAAGGATGCTGACGTTGCCGTCTCTCTCCATGAGCCGTGGGTGAAAGGGCATTATCGCAGAGCCTGTGCTCTGGCAGCGTTGGAGCAGTTCGGGGAAGCTGCTGAAGCGTTTGAGCGTGCAATGGAGCTGTGTCCCACAGATGACAAGCTGAAAGAGAAGGCAAAGCTAATGCGCGAAAAGGCGAGCGCCCTGATGGACAGTAGTAAGCACGGAAAAGATGCTCCGTCACTGGAATTGAAAGTTGTATCAGCGCCAGTGAGCCCCGAGCCAAACGCAGCTTCTCCGGTGTCGCTTAAGCCACCAGTCTCAATAGCGTCGTCATCCTCGTCTACTTCATCCTCTTCTGCATTTTCGGGCAGTGTCATGGAGCGTGAGATCATGGAAAAGGCGCCATCGACTGCGGGTTTGCCCGTATCGTCCTCGATACCGCGGTATTCTCGCTTTAACGGCGCTAACTACACTGGTCAAACGGTGACCTTGGAGCAAGTTGGCGAAGCGGTACGTCATGTTGTGTGTCATTCATTGTGATCGAGTCACTGTTGCAGTCGCTCATGCGTTGCAGTCGCTCATGCGTGGTTTACTTTCTTGTATTTCTTGCAGCAACCCGTGAATCGAGTGTCCCGCTTTAAAGCTGCACGAGCGGCTCGAGGATCAAGCTGAAAGGAATCCATATCGGTGATGGTCATGAAGTCGTTTGCTGCACGTGAGCAATGATATTTGATATTACGAGGAGTGACATCTGCTCTTGGCTTACGCCGCGAGCTCTATCATACACCAAGCAAACCGCCAAATTTCCAGCACACTTTGGTTCAACATTTGGTGTGATTACCACTGATGCGCTTCTGAACGCAATTGGTCATCGTACGTCCTAAGTCGACCGGCCACAAGCTAACACGGTATGGATTGCTACTTTAAGCCACAACATCAACGATGTCCAAGACTTTACTATCACTAGCAAGCGATGTTTGAGCAACATGTAAAGCATGTAATCATCACTTATGCTTTGGGTGCACTGCAAGAGCAAGGACTACAATAACGCCAGCCAACACATTGTGAAGTGTTATCACTTGGCCGCGCTGAAGCGAAATCCTGCGCCTGCTTACAACTTGGGTCAAGCATGTTCCGTATGGTAGCGGCGGACATCGTGCTGCCATCAAAATTATGTTAAACGCCATCATCATTGTTCGCGTCACTTGCGGCGTATTCTACTGCCCATTGACACGTAATGCTTCCTCTACCAGTCGCCAGTCATTGCGGCGTCACTCTCACGAGCCTCGCGCTCTTTTCGCTTAGCTGCTGCAGCCAACGGCTTTAAGAACGAAGACTCGAAAAAATCCACATACTTTGTCATGCTCGTAGTGGCCTTGTCCGAGTCCAGTTCCTCGTGCAACTGGCCCAGTGTAGGAACCGTGAACGGATCAAACTTCTCCATATACGTTGTGTCAATGGGTACGCATACACGGCCCGTCTTGGGGTGCACAGCGAATGGACTCTTCAACAAGTGATTCCGTTGCTTCGACACGTTGGCATCTAGTCGTGGATACAGGTACGCCAGTACAATTTCCTGCAGACACGTGCGCAGATCGGCTGCTGCAAAGCGCTTATTGGCATCACTGTTCGGTGTCGGCCGCTTGAGGCTGCTACCACCACGCATGGCATTTGTATTTCTGACCACTTGTTTCTCCACAGCCTCCCTAAGTTCACGCCACTTCTCTCCGGGACTCGATTTGCAGCTTGTGGTACCCCATCGACGCATCATGTTGGCTCGAATATCCTCATCAGGCACCATCGCCAACAACTTAACCCAGTGCTTCTCGTTACATAAAACTCCTTGACCCTCGTCTGACAAAATTGTGCTCTCGAACATAGGTTCCAGTACATGGTACGCCCGACTAGCAGTCAGCACACACCAAGTCAAGTCAAATTATTACATCAATCACAACCAATCTCAATCAAAGTACTTCAAAGTCACCCACTCGAGCGACGGATGCAGCGGTTCACGCAACTTGACTTTACGAGCAGAGTTTTCATTGCCTTCCACGAGCGTCAGGTACCCCACCACAGCAGACCTGGCTTCATTTTCAAGCTCCCGAGCTCTTTCGTCTGCGACCCAGCAATGGATTCCACGACGTCCAGAGTAGACCCAGAGAATGTGTTCAAAGCCGAAATCGTCCCGTAACGCAGCATTAAGCACCTCCACGGCAGCAACCATGAACTGCCAGCAGCGACTGCAAATTGATGCCCCGTCACAGCACGTTCGAATGTCGTCGTAGTCCGTCAGATCGATATCAAACACGAGCTCGCGCTGCTGGGGCGTAAAATCGGCCGTACTGACTTTGCCCTTGTCAACAGGAGACGCGGAGAAGACGGCTCCGATATCAATTTTAAAAGGCAGCGTCGCGTTCATGCTGGTCTTGAGTTCCACAGCATTGTGGAACGACTTGTACCGGATGTACGTGTCGTTCTCGAGCGTATACGAGAGCTCGCGTCGAAAAAAATACGCCTCACCTGGTATAAATACAAGTAACACATTAATTATAAATAAATGCATAAATAAAACATAGCTAGTGACGCGGGTTTTGTATGTGCATGTTAAATGGTATAAAAATAAAGACGCACCTTTGTCGTAGCTGAGCCACTGGACTATCTGCTGGTACGGAAAAAGTCGTTCTAAAGATTTTTCAGACGTTGAGCACATAACAAGAATCATATTAAATCACGGGTTCGATTGTTTATATATGAACCTGGATGTTACGGCACGTTAGTGGTTGGAACGCACGATAATAAAGCTGTAGCAACTCGGCGGAGAAGTCCTCGCTCTGCATCTTCGTGTCGATTGCAAAAAAAGCAATTTTGTAAATAAGCAGGTTTAAAATGAAAAAAAATGAAGCTACAAAGTGATCATGTAGACATGGTGTCCTAAACCTCCCTTTTCCCATACCGGTATCAACCGATAGGCGAGGTATTCTGCCGACCAACTGACTGGCTGTGAGCAGCTCAATTCGGCCAGCAGCTCCTCATTGCTCGCAGTTCCGAAATTACTCCGTCGGAATCATGGGTAAGCGCTCCAGCCTCAAGTCTTTTGGTCACCCCTCTTCATGTCGCCTCAGTTGGTATTGGAGCTATGCGTGAGACGGAGATGCTTTCGCATATGTCGAGCATCGGGTATCGAGTCTCTCTCTCTCTCTCTCTTGAGCGAGTGTGGAGCTCCCCATCTCGACCAGCCCTCGACTCTCTGCTGTTTCCTCATTTGTGCAGCATTCGAGTCCCGGGTTGTCTGTCTCTTCGCTGTCCCCATGATACTGCTCTGACAGAGAGAGAATGATTATACTGCCATTTCCTGGTTTTGTGTCTAACTTTATAGCTCTGTTTTGTGTCAGGCATTTCTCGTGATTCGCGTCACAAGCGCCGCGAAACTGGTGGCAAGCGCAAACAGTTCCGCAAGAAAAGGAAATTCGAGATTGGCCGTCAGCCAGCAGCGACGAAACTAGGCGGAAAGCGCGTCCACACGGTCCGTGTGCGTGGTGGCCACCTCAAGTTCCGTGCTCTGCATTTGGAGACGGGAAACTTCTCGTGGGGTACTGAAGTGTGTGCTCGCAAGACGCGTATCCTCGATGTGGTGTACAATGCCTCGAACAATGAGCTTGTGCGTACCAAGACGCTCGTGAAGGGCGCTGTTGTGCTGGTGGACGCGACGCCTTTCCGTCAGTGGTATGAGGCTCACTACGGTGTCAAGATTGGCATCAAGAAGAATGCGGAGAAGGTCGAGGAAGAGAAGGAGGTCAAGAAGTCGAGCCACGTGATGCGGAAGCTAGCAAAGCGTCAACGTACGCGCGAGTTGGACTCGAAGATTGATGACCAAGTCGCGTCTGGCCGTTTGTTGGCTGTCATTTCGTCTCGTCCGGGCCAGTCGGGTCGTGCTGACGGTTACATTCTGGAAGGCAAGGAGCTCGAGTTCTACCAGCGTAAGCTCGCCACGAAGAAGTCGAAGAAGTAACTTGCGTGCTCGCTAGCTTGCTAGTGGTCGTGGCTTGCAAGCCAGTGACTACAACCAGTAATGATGAACAATGGAGTTGATTTCGTTTAAATCAGTATGTTTTGTGAATAATTTTTTTTAAGAGCAAATCTCATTATCAGGACCACAAATGTCCAAAAGTCCCAAAACCAGGACTATAGCTTAAACAAGTCTAAAATTGATTGATACTTAATGTTAGCCACATTATACTCAACTGCAACATGGGATAAGAAACTGCCGGATCACTAATGAGTCTACCCATTTTTTAGACAACTGTCGCGAGTGGTAAAAAAACGCTCTTTTATTACCAACGTTCGCTAACTTCTCAATTTGCGCCCACGAGCCGATGTGCCCATTTTGGTTTGGGCACATTGCGTGCGAGCCAGGGCCCGGTCGCATGCACCCGACGAGCTCGTGACCGGGTGACTCAGTTATTACACCTTGCACTGTCGATTTTGATTAAATCAGTAATTCTTTATGTACGCGGTTGCAGCAACGCCAGTTTGAAAGGTTTTACAATAGGTCAGGTCAGTGGTACCGTGATTAGTGTTAATTTCGATTGCTGCAGTCACTCGAGACATCTCAAAGACTTCTTTCAGTCCACTTCTTGCGCTTACGCTCAAACGCTCAAACTAACCATTCAAAATAAACAGTATGAGGTAGTGAGCAACTTTTTTAATGATTAATGCTTTTAAGACCAGTACTAATTTCTATAGCATGTATTACACTTGTCTTGATATTACGCCCTAGTCAGTCAAACAAACTCCTGGCACTGCAACATATCCACACGGACATAGCACACAATCGTTAAGCAGGACACTCGACATTACCTGAAACCGCTCTACGCCGCTCTATATCACCGGACGCCACTTTACATCACTGGACATTACTCGACATCACTTGATATCGCTCGACATCACTTGAAACGCACTGCAACACATACATACAGACAAAGCATACGATCGTTAGACAGCAAAGTCGACATCGACAGCATAATTACCTGCTACCGCTGCTCATAAGAGTTAATACAATAACGGAGTTTACCAGTCACTAGCTCGTCGGGTGCGTGTGACCGGACCCTGGCTCGCACGCAATGTGCCCAAACCAAAATGGGCACATCGGCTCGTGGGCGCAAATTGAGAAGTTAGCGAACGTTGGTAAAAAAAGAGCGTTTTTTTACCACTCGCTACAGTTGTCTAAAAAATGGGTAGACTCATTAGTGATCCGGCAGTTTCTTATCCCATGTTGCAGTTGAGTATAATGTGGCTAACACTATGCTAGTTTGCATACTCAACCCAAGTATAATATAGATAGGTTTAGACTTGATTAAACTTTAGTCCTGGTCTTGGGACTTTTGGACATTTGTGGTCCTGATATTGAGATTTGCTCTTTTTTTAACTCAGTTCTTGTTTGAAAGCTATATCCGGATAATGACGTGAGGAATTATATTCAAATATTACCTGAGAGTAGCTCAAATATTACTTCGTTAAAACTTAAAAGCAGCTTCTGTCGCTCATTTGGTTTAATTTGTACCTCTTCATGGGAAGGTCTCAGGTAAAGTATCGCTCGACGCGTGGACGAGGGATCAATAGAAATGGTGCAGGGGATCGAACAGGACCATGTGAACGGACTGGAGCTCCTCACTTGAGGAATCTTGGCTCGAATGCCTATCGCTTTGAAGAGACACGAGATGATGAACAAGTGGCCGAGCACGCGTTTGAAAGCGAACGCACGCAGTTTTTTGCGTCAGAGCAGAACTATAGAGACACGTTGGGGTCAGTCCCATCTGGACACTTTCATAGTCGCGTGATGGAGCAGTGGGAGGAGAGAAACGACGATACCGCAGATGACTGGGGAACTGTTGGAGTGCTGGTAAGTCGAGGCTGCCATTGATTGTAGTGACTCCAGTCTGTGGTAACCAGTTCTGAATTCATTTTTATTTCCTTTTTATTTGTATCTGTAATCTGTGGTTCTTATTTTGGTGCTAAACAGAATTTGGACCGGATAGCGTCGCAGTTGGACCTGCTGTCTCCAGCTACTCGCTTCCGGATGGATCCGAAATACTGTGTGAGTCATTGAGTATCTTGGGAAGTCTTGCCGTCTGTTCTCTCAGTGCTCTAATTTAATGTAGTTATTGTTGATATTGCGATGTTAGACGGACTTTCCATACGAGCCGCTAGAATGCAGTCGTGAGTCCAACCAAGACGTTGCTGCTGATGCACCGAGTGCTGGAGCTGCAGCTCCGTTGAAAGCTGCACAAAATGACGACGCGCTGGACGTTTTGCTCCATCTGAGTGCGTCAACCACATCCAGTGAGATTCACCCAGCTCCTTTGCCGCCAGTTCCCTCATTATCTCCAACACGCACAACCCGAGCTGGAACGGAGCAGCTAGAAGAGTGGCTGGACGATGTACTGGATATGTAGCCATCACTCATCATTGCGTTCTTTGTTGCTGTTCAGCACCTCTTGTCCACAGAGCTCCGTTTTACTCGAGTGCTATCAATCGAGTCCATATGTTGCCTACGTACAAGGTATGTATATTGTTTCGTATCTGTTACTGAAGATGCTCATCGACTTCAAGCTTATGCAAATGATGCATCGTTTACTTCCCGCAATTTCATTACGACAGACTCTTCTTCGTTTCGAACAAATGCGTACCGTGATACAAATGTGTCACCCGACTGCCAATTTCTCACGGCCTTGGAAGCATATAATGTTGTTGCTCGCTATTTCGGGGCAAAAATGGACACAAATGCCCGTCGCATCCCTACCTATCGAAGCGAGCGATGGACGACTCGTCAGGCTCGCGTAGAGTACACCTGTGTATTCATAACTATGGTCATGTTATAACCCGGCAATGTATCACGTCAGGTCTTAGCCACTACTTGCAATAGGTCTATCTTGCCGAGTTATGAACGACATCGGTTTTCGCTCTGGAATGCCAAGCAAGGAGCAAGTGACCACCACTACTAGGCCATTGCCAATCAATTAAACGATACACGACCTTCGGGTAGCGCTGTGGATGTATTGACGTCTTCAAAGTATGCATTATTATCTACGTGGGACTTGACTAAACTCATTACTGCTCGACTTGCTCGCTCGCTTCAGTTTAGTAGTGGCGATGGGTGGCGTGCTGCAGTTTGCTGCGTGGTTTTGGCAGTAGAGGATGCTATATCCTCTCTTTGCCACTTTAGAAGGACGACCTCTACGCTGATGACGACCTGGAGTTGATCCGCATGCGAGATCGTAGCCAACATGCTCGTGGCTGTGGTCGCTTACGCGGCCGAGTAAACATCATTGTTGGAACGTGCAGAAGCATTGGTACGTCCGGAAGCAAAAGCGCGCTGGTCCTCTGTGAGGGCAGCGTAGTGCTCATCAAGCTGCACATACGAGTTCTGAGGGTACCGCCCAGTCCCGTTGCCACACTCGGTCTTGTCAAGAACACGATCACGCAAGCCGGTCGTGTGGATGTAAATCAAGTGACCAGCACACCCAAGCAGCCGGCACGAGTTGATGCTTGCCACACAAATGTACAGCAGAGGCATGTAAATCGACGAACTGGTGAAGTACACGATGAAAAGCGCGAAAATGAGGTTGGAGAACGCCCAGGTGAGGAGGATGTTGGTGCGAAACGCTTCGAAACTCTTCTTCCTGTTCTCAGCACGCTCTTTCTCTTCACGACGACACTCTTCCATCGCACGGCGCTTGGCAATCACGTCCTTAAAGTCCCCCTTCTCCGTGTCATCCAGTGACAGCAGTAGCGGGTCGTCGTGCAGACCTTTTGTGCCCCATGACAAGTCCTGCAGATTGCAAAATGAGTAGACGGTCGCAATGTTCACGAAGCTCGGGATCAACGCCGTGTAGTGCGTGAACGTCATGAAGATGTGGTGCACCTCGCCATGAAGAGCTGGACCGATGAAGTATACGCCAACTGTAAGGACCGACACGACGATCGAGTTGATATTAGCTGGCGATGAGAAGAAGATGCCGACGCCCACGAGCGACGAGAGCATCATCATGACCCCAAAGACAGCACCCAGGAAATAGTACGTGAGCTTCATGTGCTTTGGGTTGTTGCCCAGTCCAATAATGATGAGCATCAGCAGACCAAAAAGGTATGCGAAGTTGTACATGTACACCGCACAGTCCAGCACAGTTTGCGAGTACCCCGAAGTGTCGACAAACTCGAGACGATTTTGCTGAAAGCCCTGGAAGACGACGAAAAATAGTGCCAGGTACAAATTCGCAGGCAGGAAGAAGCCAAACACCGTGTACAATAGATGATACAGGTACAACGCCAGGAAGGCCATCTTCCTTGAAAACGAGTGCGAGCTCTCCGAGTAGATGCGACCCCAGTTCCAAATGCTAAAGAGCGTGGCAAAGAACGCGCCATTGAGCCAGCGCTTTCGCTGCGAGATGAGACCGACAAGATTGTGCGGTACATCGGTACGGGCGACTGCGTCCTTGACGTAGTGCATAGTCCACTTGCAGTCTTTGCGTGCCACAACTTCAAAGGACAAGATCCTGTCTTCCGCAAGGTACATGTTGCCGAGAAAAGGTCCTAGAACGTCCAAATCGACGTTGAGCGTCTGGAAGTACGCATCCAGTGGAGCCCCTCGAACAGCTTCGTAGCGATATGCTGAGAACGCCCCTGGCAAGACACTGATAAAGCCAAAACAGCTCTCCAACGACTTGTCCAAGATATTGGAGATCTTGTACTCGAAATGCTGCGCCGAGACGACCCAGTTGCTCAGATTTTCAAACGCTTTGTCCACCGTGAGCTGGCCGCACGCTCCACCAATCTGGTGATTGCGTTCCATCGCAAAGAGCAAGTGATAGAGCGCGGATTTCGTCAACATCGTGCCAACGTCCATCACTGCCGTGTACTCCGGCTGCACCTGCTCAGCAAACGCGTTAAAGTACCACCGATGCGAGTCCAATTTGCTCGACTTGCGCTCCTTGAGAGCAAACACCGTCTGAATGGGCAAGAGGCACTTGCCATTCACGGAGAGCTGCAGCGTGTGTTCAAATAAATGACATTGCGCGCCAATGCCAGCGCTGTTGATGGTCAAGAGGTCTTCATCGTACAAGCCAATGGACTCCAAGTACTCGAGCATCTTGTCATTGACCTGCTCGCGGCCGTCAGCGACGATACACACGAGGACGTTCTGCCACACATTGTCGCCTGCAAACGGGCCTGTGAGCCCGTTTTTCCGCTGCGACTGCCCCGTCTGCTGCTGTTCTTTCAAGTACGCCAAGTTGTTTGCGAGTTTCTTCAATGTTGCTTTAAGCTGCGCGGGCTCTTCGTTGTACATAGTGATGCACACCATCAGACGGGGCCGTCGTCCTGTTTCTACACATCGCAGACGGTACCCAAAGTTCGAAAAGTCCACGGGGTGCGGACAGAAAACGGGCGTGTACCACAGTCGACGCGCCTCTTCTTCGTCCAAGCACGGGCCCAGCCAGTCTTCGTCCCAATTGCTCACGGGGATCCCGACCTTGTGCACGCCTGGACGCGGGTGTTTCTCCTGCACGCGCCCTTCGATCCAGTCGCAGAGCCGCGCACACCAATTCAGCGTCTCGAAGCCTTTGCTCGTCAATAAGTTGCAGATCTTGGCGTGGGTCTGGCGCTCGGCGACGTTCGCCATGGCGTACCCGCCTTCCAAGTACAACTTTAACGCGTCTCGATAGCGTCTCGCACTTAGCGCGACTGCTGCGCGGTCCAGCGTCACGAGCGCTTCTTCGACCGACGGGATGTCGCTGTACGTGCGCACGAGATTCGTGGCACTGGCGTAGGACTTCATGCTCGAGATCAAGTCCTGGACACTATGGGGAGGGAAGGCCGTGCCCGTGGGGATGTAACTCGTCACGTACTGCTGCGAGCCACAGGAGCGGATGCTCGGCGGTGGCAACGGGATGCCGTCGTACTCGACAGACATCATGGACGACCGAGGGCCGCCGTGCGAGAGCGGCGGGAGGCCCATGCTGCGAGGTGGGAAGCCGGAAGGAGGACCGCTCATGTGGTCTTGTTGCTGTTGCTGTTGCTGTTGCCGTTGCTCTTTGCGATTTTTGTTCTGGTTGAGTGCTGCTGCTGCTGGTGGCGGTGGTGATGGTAGATTCGATACAAATGTCAAGTGAGTGTTAAGCGGTCGGACAAATGCCAGATGAGGAAAAAGAAGGGACTGGAGCGCGCGCTGTGGACGACGATTGAGTGCGCGGACGTTTCACTTTTGACGGTTTGTTTCCTTTTCTTGTTTGGGTTAAGAGAATTTATGACTTGAGCGGATTGATTTCTGGACGTAGGAATGCGGCAGAGACGCGGAACGCGTGCGGCGTTGCGCGTGCTTTCTGCCACGCTGGCTGTCGGCGTGTCTCTCGGTTTCTGACTGGTCTCGGTGATGGTCGAATGGCTATGCGGCAGCGGCGACCGAACTTACCATCTGGTTTCCCCTCGTGTAGAGCAACGCGTTGGTTACTGTTTGAGGAACGAGTGAGAAGGAGCTTGGTTTCGGGAGAGAGAGTAAAAGCGAGAAAAGTGTCGCACTGACTTGTTGGGAAAAAAGTGTTGTGGCCAGCGAAGTCTTTATTGCTACAGGGTCCTTACTTTCTAGGTGGTTCGGGTGCGCACTGGATTGAGGTCAGCTTGATTGCTGCTACCAAATGACCACTCGATCGCTGCCGTCGCCAATGGAATCCGCAACCAAGTCGGACAAAATGCGGCAACTTCAACATGATGGCAACGAACAAGTGCAAGGTATAATTCTATTTCCGATTGTACTTTCTTTTCTGCACCGTGCAATGTCGACATTGACATCGACCTTATCCGCTGTCGCCGTGCACGAGCGTTCGTCAGCCTAGGGATGGCATGCTGGCCACTGCTGTTGCAAGAAAGAAGCCTGTACAGTCTAGTGTTTGGGATCATATCGCTTGCCATAAAGTTTCGCGTGCAAGCATCAGCGGGCAGTTCTGTTATCAGAGTACCTGCACGCGACGGCAACCGTACACACTGTTGACGCAGCCTGGAGCCCCTAAAAACAGATGCTGTGATGTCATTGGCTCGTGGACTTCGGTCTTTGCTGCTAGTTCGAAAGTAGTCGGCTCAAGACCTTGACCTGCCGCCAAGCCGAACCTCGTTGCTTGTGTCATGAATACAACAGGAACGAGGCCAGCTCTTGATTTTTGCTGCGCACAAACATCTGTTGTCAGCGTAAAGGTGCAGGTCACGGGCATGTCTTTCCGTCGTCTAGGTTAGTGTACACTACACCAACAGGAAACATGAGCGTGCAGTCAATGGCACGGAGTAGAGATGTTAGATAAAAAGTCTCTGTGAATAACATTTTACTTTTACCAGCGTCAAAACGTTAATAACAAGATCTCATTCTAAGCAGACTTTTGGCCAGTAATTATTCAACAACAGTCAAGTCATTTGTCAAAGAATTTATAAAATGGGAGGTTGCGCTACAACCATCCCCACTGTCCGTCCTATTCTCGTTACCGCCAAACCGAAAAAATGAGGCGACTTGGCGCGTGGAGGAACTAAGGGCTGCCATCGACGCATCAGTCCTAAAGGCTCACTGTTCCCGCGAAATTCTTTACACATACCTTCTCTGTAATGCAATTCTATTCTACATTCTTTGCCATTCGCGGGTTTAGAATGCCCACGATCGACGCCTTCATCTTCTGGTGTTCTCTAAAAAGGCGGAAATGGCCGGGTGAAATCCAAGGCTGTGTGCAACACTATTCACTTAGTTTGCAACCTCAGGAAGTTTGTATGAAAGTCCTCGTTGCACAGGTATTCCGCATTGTACTGCTGTTTTATTTGCGATCTCTCAGCTAACAGCATCACACGTTCGTGCACAGGTGCTCCTTTTGAGGAGAGGTTAAGGCTAAGAACCTCGTCAGCAACCGGTCGAAAAACGTTCTGATGCGTGCGTTTGTGTACGCAGATCTTTTTCTTCTACATAGTGACTAGCCTATTCCCTCAGGCACGATTGTTCCATCGCATATTGATGAATTCACCCAGCCAGACCACTCTACATAGCGAGAACCTGCTTTGTAGAGCTATAATATTACCTGCATGACTGTGAAAAGCTGGGTGAAACGATATTAACTAGTATAACATAAAAATCTGATAAAAGCTAATAAAACTGGTATAACACGAAAAGCTGATAAAAGTGGTAATATTATAAAAATGGTAAAAAGCGTTAATTACTTTGAAAACTATCGGGACGTTATACTTAACATCCTCGCACGGAGTGTACGGCGCAGGTGGAAGACGTTACGATTTGGGGCACTTTTGCCCCTACAACTCAGACATCATGGTGTCCGATAATATGGTGAACTAGTATTAGGTTTCGCGCGTAACCGAACGGTCGGCGTGCGACAAAACCATTATCAGACTCTAGTTGCACTCTTCGTGCTGACAGTACGCAATAACATTCACGCACTGCTACTCGTAATCTTGCCGCCGTCTTGTCTTCATGGCATTTTCTAGTTTCTGCATGTCTACTTTTGAAACGGGTTCCCGGGCAAATTTTGACAATCGACGGAGCACATCTAATTTTTCCGTCCTTGAAACCGACGTATTTGCGACTGTGGCTTAGACCATACTGAGCACCATTCACTTATTCTGAACCGCAACCAAAGCATAATGGACAGGTGCGGTGCGCATTCATGTCGATAATAACCGAATCGTAGACAAGCTCGTGGCGTTCGAAAAAACTGGAGCAGGCCGCCACTGCCCTATTAGGGTTGCTGCTGCAGATTGTTGACGGCATTTTGGAAGCAAATCTTTGGCTACCTCCTATATTCAGTGTGGTATTACGGACATCCTGACAAAAAGAGCCAAACAATACGTAGCGATCGAGACCCCCTAGACGGTATTGCCATAGCACGTGTTTGCCGCTTCCGACGACTATCTCCATCAACGCAATCACAACAATGGATGGTGTGTGTCGCGCTACCACGTCCGTGGCTGCTCTCGCTGGCCTAAAAGACGCGGCTATTTCGAAGCCTTATAGTAAGTTGCAGCCATAAAAAAACCGAGTGGCTACAAGGAGTTGCAGCTGACCGGGCCTACCTCGCGTGTCTCCCCCTACCCGACCAGTTGTTGCCGTATTGTTTGGCGCCCAAGCCTCGACCTCCTCCTTGCGTGTCATCGGTGTGCATGCTGCCCATCCCTTAACACTTGCCGAAGTGCATCCAATCAGCGCGTGGACCAGTCCAAGACGTGTAACTCGATACTTTTCACGTTTGATTGCAACCATCGGTTTACTCCGATAGAAATCACGACAGCACCTGTTCTGATACTACATATCCCTTGATATCGCATCAACCACACATCAAACAACCACTGGATCTGCTCGGGCATCGATACGTCACGTGAGTGTAGATTGTGACCCCCTCCGACTCAGCATCGAGGGCATTTCGCAATCCTCCCGGTCTCACACACCCGTCCGTCGATTCTCAACCTCATAGGTACGATGTGGTGTCACCTGATCCCTAGCCCTTCCCTGGCATCTATACGTATACACGCATACCTCTCACAATATATACACATGGAAAAGGCTTCTAACCTCCTATTATCCTGTTGACCTGTCTGCAGACATGAGTGCACTCATCAAGTACATCGCTGCACGCTCGGGAAGCGCCGTCGCTCCTGCTGCCGCCCGCGCCATGTCCACCTCCTCGACGTCGCTCCTTGACGAGCTCAAGCAGCAGCTCCCCGTGCGTCAGGAGGCGCTCAAGAAGCTCAAGGCCGAGCACGGCCACAAGTCGCTGGGCGAAGTCACAGTCGAGCAAACGCTTGGCGGCGCTCGTGGCATCAAGTCTCTTTTATGGGAAACGTCTCTACTGGATGCTGAAGAAGGCATTCGCTTCCGTGGCCACACGATTCCCGACCTCCAGAAGGTACTACCGACCAGCATCCAAGGCGGGGAACCCCTCCCTGAAGGTCTGCTCTGGCTCCTGATGACGGGTGAAGCGCCTACAGACGCTCAAGCAGCGAGCGTCACTGCTGAGCTCCACGCCCGTGCCAAGGTGCCGGAGCACGTGACGAAGCTCATCCGGGACCTCAAACACGCGCATCCCATGACACAGCTGTCGGCTGCTGTTACCGTCATGAACACGGAGAGTGTCTTTGCCAAGAAGTACGCGGAAGGCATTCACAAGTCGACGTACTGGGAGCACACGTACGAAGACAGCATGAACCTCACTGCGCGGTTGCCGGAGATTGCAGCTCTCATCTACCGCAACACGTACTACAGCGAGTCGAACCACGCGTACGACGCGAGTCTCGACTATTCGGCCAACTTTAATCGCATGTTGGGCTACGACAATAGCGAGTTTGACGAGCTCATGCGTCTCTACCTCGTGATCCACAGTGATCACGAAGGTGGCAATGCGAGTGCCCACGCCACGCACCTCGTTGGATCGACTTTGTCGGATCCGTACCTCGCTTTAGCCGGTGGGCTGAATGCCCTGGCCGGTCCGTTGCACGGTCTGGCTAACCAGGAGGTACTGGGCTGGATCCTCGACCTCCAGGCCGAGTTCCACTCGAAGGGGCTCGAGGTGAACAAGGAGACGATCACGCAGTTTGCCTGGGACACGCTGAATGCTGGCAAGGTCATCCCGGGCTACGGCCACGCGGTGCTGCGCAAGACGGACCCGCGTTACACGTGCCAGCGCGAGTTTGGCCTCAAGTACATGCCCAACGATGAGCTGTTCCGTATTGTGGATACGATTTACCAGGTCATGCCGGGTGTTTTGACCGAGCACGGCAAGACGAAGAACCCGTACCCGAACGTGGACTCGCACAGCGGCGTGTTGCTCCAGTACTACGGCATGACGCAGAAGAATTACTACACGGTGCTGTTTGGTGTGTCGCGTGCGATTGGCGTGCTCTCGCAGCTCTTCTGGGACCGTGCACTGGGTCTGCCGCTCGAACGCCCCAAGTCGGTGACGAGTGAGTGGATCAACAACCACTTTGCCAACAAGAAGTAGGCAAGTCAGGAGATCTTCGAGAGGGTAAATAGGAGAAAAAGCCGCAGGTGTAGTATGATGGATCAACTTGTCAGTACGAAGGTCTTGGCTTGGTAAAGAACATGACTCGTAGGAGTCATACATTCAAGACACAGCAATCAAGCGTTTGTGCTTTCGATCGACGTTGACAATCGAGCTTCCGCGATGGATACGCTGGGGTTAGTCGTCAGCTAGATCAACCTTTGGCGTACATTTTTAATTATGACGGAAAGTATACAGCAAATATAGCACAAACTATACAGTTTCTTGTAAACCCATGTGGACTAAAAGTAGTAGTAGTAGTACTACTACTACTTTACGTCCGGACACGAATCGTACCAAGCATCACAATTTCGGTCGTTATTTTTGGCGGGAAGTAAAATTACAGCCGTAATGGAGCGCTGTCTAGACGAGATTCTCTCGACGGTCGAAGACGCGCGCGAGCCCATCTCGTACCGTACACTCAGCATTCGCTCGCAGGTGTCCTCCGCCACCAGTACTGAAGCCCTCACCCGATTCTCCGCCGAGAACAGCAGCGTCAACGCTTTGCACGTGGTGATCAAGCCAGCAGTGAAGAACACGCACTTAACGAACGAGACAGCCGCTGCTAAGTGCGATCCGAGGGCGCGTGTGCTGTCTCTCAGTACCAAAGCGACCGACCAAGTTCAAACGACAGGCGACGTGCTGTGCAGTCACATTTACGCACTTTATAACAAGTCCAAGGCCGCAAAAGACGAGACAGACGAGGCAGCCGCTCTAGCGATCGTCTGTTGGGCGCAAGAGCGCCAAGCGCGCAATGACGTGCTGGATATGCTGGAGAAGGACGCGCCGCTGCTGTCTGCAGCTGCTAAGGCGCTGTATGAGAGCGGCATTCAGTGTGCAGAAGCCACGACGCGGCACGGATTTGAAGGGGACCAGGGGGAAGAGACAGTCTCGGTGTTTGACGCAGCGCCCGCGTCCAAAAAGCTGAACTCTTTGTCGATCAAGTCGTCGTCGTCGTCGTCATTTTTCGGCAAAAGTAGCAGCAAGAGATTGGGATCTTTACCGGTTAGTAACGGGAACAAGAAGGGAAAGACTAACGAGACCGGGAAGGAGGTACTGGAGAGGAAGAGGCTGGATATGAGCACCGTCCTGACTGTTGACAGTGACGAGGACGAGGAAGAGATGGATGAAGAGATGGACGTGCCTGCATTTGTCAAGATGAAGACGAATAAGCGCGTGATTAGTGATGATGATGACGACGAGGAGGAGGAGAATGATGTACTCTGTACAAAACCAGCGGCCAGTTTGAAAGGTACTAGGAATCGGAATGTGAAGCGCAAGTTGAATGCGTCCCCAGTGAAAGGGCTGGACCAAGTGACAGGATCCGACGACGAGTGTCGAGTAAGCGAGAACAGTGAACAGCGCGTGGAGTCGGACGTTGAAGCGGATGGTGATTCGGTTGAGGAGCCCGAGATTGCTACGAAACGACGAGTTCTTGTCTCGAAGACTCGCATTAACGAGCAAGGCTATATGGTGACAGAGAAGACGTATGATGAGGTGGAGCTGACGCCTGAGGAGATTAGACAGGAACAGAGGATAGCGAGGAAGAAAGTGGAGGATGAGAAGAAGAAGAAGAAGACAATGGCTGCCGCGGAGAAAGCTGCTAAGGCGACGAAAGAGGCAAAGAAGCGTGGCGGTCCGCCGAAACAGCGAGACCTGCGTTCCTTCTTTTCATCGCAATGATCGTCGCACTGAGAAGGACAGCAAATAGCTGCAACACTAAGAGGGATTTATCAATGGGTATAGATCACACGGCTCGGGCGGCTACAGGCACCAGAAAACAGTGTTCCTCGTTCCCGGGACTGCCTGTCCTCGTCTACTGCTCCATGCTTTCAACTTCCTCGTCGTCGTCGTCCATCTCGTGGAACATGAACTCGCGCTGGTACTCCATCAGGAACTGCGTCGAGCGCTTGACGTCTGCAAAAAGCGAGTAGACGCGCTTGATATCCGACACCTCCACCTCGGTGCCTTTGCGCTTGGAGCATACGAGCGACGCAGTGATGATCATGTGAATGGCATATCGCAATGACGTTTCCACGGCGATGCGCGTGAGCAGGTCCTTGGCCTCTTCCGACATTTCGACATCTTCCTCTTCGCAGCGAATCGTGAGGATCTTGTGCATTTCAGACTCGCTATAGGGCTTCGTGGGAATGATCATGAGTCGATCGAGCAAGTCAATCGGAATGCCGTGCGGACTCTTGTAATTGGTACCGCGAATGCGTGTGATACCCCGGTTCGTAGCAATAATCAGGACAGGAGCCATGGGACTCTCGAGAGCGCGGTTGAGCCACGAGAAGCACTCGATATCCAGCATATGCACCTCGTCAATAAACAGCACGCCCGGCACAATAGTAGCTTTGCCTTCTTCACGCCACTCTGCCACCTTTGTGTCAATCTGTTCCCGCACTTCGTCCTTGATTTCACCCGTATCGCCTGCAAACAACGCGAGGAACCCTTGCGAGCGCGAGTTGATCACGTCGATCTCGTGAAGCGAAACCACGTGCACCACTTCTTTCCGTTTCTGCAGTTCGCCTTCAGGACACTGTACAAAGCGTGTCTGGGCGCCCATGGCATCATAATCACGAGAGCGCGTGAACGATCGTCCGAGCTTACTGATCTTGCCCAATTCCTTGTTGATCGTAACAATATCGCCTGCTTCCACCTTCTCCTTCGTGAGCGAGTCAATCATCTTGGCCCCAAGGTCGTACACAGTCTCCATTTCCGTCGTCCGCAGTGTCAACCTGCCCACTTTATCCCCAACACCTCCTGTCGGCGTATCCACCTGAATCTCCACGACTTCTCCTTCAATCATCTCCGTCTCTTCCATAATTCGCACCCCAATGGAGCGACGAAATGCTTGAGTCAAAGCTTCTGTCTTGCTCATCTCCAAGGAAAACACCTCACTACCAGCAATCGTCGTGAACGGCGTGTCTTCACCCAAAGCCTGAGCCATAGCCATTGCAATAGCCGTTTTGCCTGTACCAGGTTGACCGGCTAAGAGTATAGCCCGACCAGCAATGTTGCCCTCCTCAATCATCTTGGCTACAATCCCAGCAGCTCGACGGGCTTCCGTCTGCCCCACCATTCCCTGGGAGGACGTCCGTGGCTCTAGACTGTCATCAAGTCCCAGGCCACGAATGTGCGAGTGAGCCCCGATCCGCTCAATGCGTGTGATGTCCTTGACTTCCACTTGAGTCTTGACTGTGTTTGACTAGGAGCAGCAAGTGGGAACAAGTTGGTAAGTATACAGGTAGAGCGTGAGAGGATAACGACGGCATAACGAGTAGTTAAGTACGTACCATGACGATAAAGTGGCGAAAGAAATAGAAGAATGACAGGAATTTTGGATGGATGTTATAGTGATGCGGTCGTTAGCCGGAACCAAGCGATGAGGATTGCGAATAAGTACGATTTAGTCGGACATTGACGACCGAATACTGCTGGTATGCGCATGTCATAAATGGGTTTACACACCGATCGAGAGGTGGTATCTGGTAAAAGCAAGTTTTTTTAGCCAGCAGCGCAAATTGATATTAAGACACGATGCTTCGTAAATTGTTGAAAACGGATGAACATCTTGTTGCGTCGATTTCTGCTGCTACGGCAGGAGCCTCACAAGTTGGCAAGTAGATATGTGCTAACGTCGGATCAAATTTTAGGGAGCGAGTTCTTCTGTCTTTGTTGCAAATTGGGACTCGTGTTTGCGCGACTCATGCTGGTCACTTGGTTCTTTCGCCACGATCCAATCATGCATCTACATGTTTAAATGTGAACTTGTACGCTGGATGTCGCATTGATAAATGAAATTGCCATTGCACCGAAGTTCTACATCTTGACCAGTGAAGTTACTCCTGTGAGCGTGCTTGTAACGGGGTGAATCGTTACATAACAATTTATAAGAAATTGTTAATAGAATATAACTATAAGAGTTATATTCACAGAATATTGTCATAAGGACAATATTCTGTAGCACTTCCAAGTAGTTCCTAATTGGTTGATATAGGCCATTATATCAACCAACGAAGACGCGCCACGACAGACGCACGCAATGAGTGGTGAGCAGATAACTGATTTACACATTTGTATTTAGACATAGTTAGATGAAGATAAATAGTGATTTATTGCAGACATTAACTATTATAAATACAGTTCTACTTTTTACTCTAACCGAGTACTCGCTTCTTCTTACCGTCTTCCTCTGCACGTACGAGTGTACGTGAAGTTACGAGGCACCGCCTTATTCTGTTATCAGAATAAGTAGCTTGTACTGTCACCAGTACAAGCTTCAGGGTGCCCCGTTACACCTGGTAGCACTTCGTAGTCCGTCCAAGGACCGCGTTCACATCCAACATGAATATGTTGGATGATGAAGATGACCAAAGCTTTCACGCTACGCGTGACGGCTACTCCCATTTGAGCGATGTCGAATGGGATGCGGTTGAACGAATGGGTTCGACCATGGGCATCCATGCTGTTAGCGTCATGCTAGAGGCTCTCAATAGAGATGCCCAACATGCTACTATCGCCAAGTTCATTCAAAATGAACTTGACGCAGAACGCGAGAAAGTAGCCTTGCTTCACCAACAAGGTTCTCAACAAGCAGAGTTGTTGAGAGAACAAGGTGCTCAACAGTTTGAACTGTTGAGACAGCAGCAGGCTGCTGCTGGCGGGTCGATGCACTCGCGTCGGCCCGAGACTTTGAAGATTGACATCTCAAAGTATAGGGGGTCGAAGAAGACTCCCTCTTGAGATGGTTCGTCGAATTGGATGACGCCATAAGGGCGCGTCGCATCGACGACGGGGATATGCAAGTTGCATTTGCCCAGTCAAATCTGGCAGGACGTGCCAAGACTTGGGCACTGGGGCTCAAGCTGCACGACCCATACGCGTTTGGGTCGTTGGAAGTCTTCAAGTCGCGGCTCAGACAAACGTTTGAACCGCCTAGAGCTGAGTTCAGAGCTCGAACCGAACTCTTGAAGCTCAAGCAGGGTAAGCGTGATGTGCACGCTTACGCTCAACATATACGACATCTCACGAGTTGTATAAGTTCCAATCCGGTGGATGAACACACGTTGGTTTCGGTGTTCATGCAGGGTCTTGCGGATGGTCCCGTCAAGACTCACCTGTTCCGGCTTGAACTAGATTCACTAGAACAAGCCATTTCAATTGCGGAGCAGGAAGACTTCAGTCTGAGACAGGCTCGCGCCAGCTCGACATCATATCGTCAACCGAGACGATATGACAACGGAGGTCCAGAGCCGATGGAACTCTGTTATGTAGAGAGCGAGAAGGCTCGCTCTACAGGCTACAAGAAGTTGCAGAGATGCAACAGATGTCAAAAGACAGGACACTACGCTTACGAGTGTAGTGCCCCTCGTCCAGTGTCTCGCGACACTGGGCGTAGTGACCGTCCACCCATGAGAAAGGGGCAGGGACGAGGGTCCGCAGTTGGTGCAAAGACGCAACAACGGGATGGACCGTCAAAAAACGGACAGGATCAGTAGGTGCGGAGCACCCTACTGATCCAGCAACGTCAAGAGAATTTGTAGGCCTCTTGATGAAGGTTGCTCCCAACACACAGACATTGTGCGTTGCTGCTCTAGGTAATGAGATCTCACTCATTACCTTGAAACTCGAAGTGACGAATAAGTTGTCCCTTCGAGCTCTAGTCGATTGTGGGGCGTCCAACAATTTTGTGCGACGCCAATCGCTAGAAGATGGTCACTTTAAATTCAGTGAATGTGACACACCTCCTACGAGGATGACGGTACGTCTTGCGACAGGCGCATCCGTAACCGTCATGAAGCGTATAGTGAAGATTCACTATACGCTAGAAGATACCCAATACGACGATGACGTTATCGTATTGGATTTGGATGACAAATTTGATGTCATCCTTGGAATACCGTGGCTCAGAAGGTACGAACCACGGGTAAACTGGCAACATCGGACAGTAACGATGCCTGCCGCTTGTTCATCAGATGGCCATCTGATGAACGTTTTGGAGCGTCCACAAGCGTGTGGATGTACTACGAGTGAGTGCGATGGCCTCACTTGTGGTACGGTCGTTAGTACGACTGCACGAAACCTTAGTGTAACAAACGATTACACTTCGGAGCAAAGTTCCGGCGGCTATGAGGAAACACAGGCTGCGCCGAAGGTCCACCACTCGAATAAGTCGAGTGTACCGGGACAAAGATGTATCCCTAGCGGGGAACATCTAGAAGAGAAACAATCGATCGCTCAGGTTAAGCGAAACGATAATCCTAGATCGACTGGAGAGTCTTTCGTAGAGGATCTCGCTGTGGTTGCGCAACCCCAGCTAGAGGAAGTAAAGGGAATAAGTCCCAAGATTATAAATACGGCGGAAATAAGTTCCCCGAAACCCGCGGGAATAAGTCCCCGGGAAGACGAAGGAATAAGTCCTTCGAAGCCTGAGGGAATAAGTCCCCAGGAAATGACAGAGACATTGAATGTCATAGTCAATAACGGATCATGTGTAGGCGCTTATACACTTGATCTGATTGCGCCTCCGAAGTTAACTTCGGAGATCACTCAGTTGCCAACGCTCGAACATAAAAGATTCTTGCGTGATCTGCGTAGTGGCAAAGTCAAGCAGATCTGCATACTCGTCGCTGAAGACGAGTATGTAACCGACATAAGGTCAGCAACAGTGTTTACTGAGAACGAGAGAGTTCTCAGTAGTTCATCTATGGACGAGAGTGTCCTAGATGAAAAGACACGAATTGAGCGATATGAGTCCCAATCATGGGAATCGCTCAAGAAAAATCCTCTCTATGAAGATTTGGTTGAATTCAAGGATGTATTCCCTGAAACTGTTCCGTGCGAATTACCGAAGGATAAAGGTATTCGACACGAAGTCGAGCTTAAACCAGGCTCGAAGTACTGTGTCATGAAGCAGTGGCCACTGCCTCGTGAACAAGTACTTGCGATCGACAAGTTCTTTGCCGATCGTTTAGCAGCGGGCCATGTGAGGGAATCAACTTCCTCACATAGCTCTCCGACCTTCTGTGTGCGAAAAGCAACAGGAGGGTGGCGGATAGTGCACGCGTTTAACAAATTGAACGCTGCAACGGTACCGGCTCAGACGCCGATACCGAGGAAGGACGTAATCATTGATGGTATGTCAAAGAGTACCATCTTTTCGTCTATGGATTTGATGGATGGCTTCTATCAAATCCTAATGCGGGAACGGGATATACCCTATACCGCAGTTAGCACGCCTAGCGGCATGCTCTGGGAATGGCTAGTAATGCCACAAGGGCTCAGTAATGCCCCTGCCACGTTCAACAGGTGTGTATCACATCTGTTGAGGCCAGTACGAGAATTCGCGCCGAGTTATTTCGATGACGTATTCATCCATAGTCGAGCTATGGATGGAAAGTCGGACGTTGAGGTTCACAAGTACCACGTCCGACAAGTTCTTACAATCATGCGAAAGCATCAATTGTATGCAAACCTCAAGAAGTGTATATTTGCAGCAAGCGAAATACCACTTCTTGGGTGCATCGTTGGTAAGAACGGTGTACGTCCTGATCCCGAAAAGATCAAGGCGATCACCGACTGGCCCGTGCCGGTCGATGTCAAAGGTCTTCGAAAATTCCTTGGGCTAGCGGCGTATTTGCATAAGTATTCACGCAATTACGCCGAGATGACTGTACACCTCTCTCGTTTGTTGAAAAAGAACGAGAGGTGGTTATGGAACGCTGAATGTCAACGCTCCTTTGAGGGTATCAAGCAGAGCTTGATACAATCCCCAGTCCTAGCAATAGCCGATCAGGACAGGCCATTTCATGTGGTCTGTGATGCCAGCGATTTCGCAATCGGCTGTGCATTAATGCAGTACGACCTTGAAGGCGTTGAACGCGTCGTCTGCTATCAGTCGCGTCAGCTGCAACCAGCTGAGCGGAACTATCCAGTGCATGACAAGGAACTCCTTGCCATGAAGTATGCACTCGCGAAGTTCAGAGTCTATCTATTAGGAGATAGACCCTTCGTTGTTTACACTGACCATGCGTCCTTACGCACGGCAGTGAACAGCCCGCACCTTTCACAACGAATGGCGCGGTGGTTGTCATTCTTTGCAGAATACAACTTTACGGTCGAGTACAAACCAGGACGACTTAATGTCGTCGCTGATGCACTCTCACGTCGTCCCGACTTTGAAACAGTCGCGAAACCCAACAGTGAGACAGTCACTGTTGCGGTTATGACGTCCTCAGTTCCATCTACAACGTTGTATGATGATGTGAGGCGGGCATACGCCCAAGATGGTGAGATA